TCTGTTTCAGCCAAACCAGGACAGTGACTTAATAAACTCCTAAAGAGGAGAACCAAGAAAACCTTAAACTCAAGTCTAGCAACCTTCTCCCCTGTCTTGACCACCAGAGGAGCTGTGATGGAGGGTGCTGTCTCTGGGGAAATGCCCCCAAGGACCAGCTAAGTTCCTGCTCTGCCAGAGCTTCTGTTGCATTTTCTGGCCTGGCGAGGGCCCGACCAGTTTTTCTTCTGACCTTCTACCTGCCCTGATGGGCTAAAAATGCACCAGTAGGAGCCATGTGGACTGTGTCAAGCCTGGTTTTTTCTGTCCTTTTGGCTTTGAGGGTTGGGGTCAGCTTGGGGACCTTAAAAAGGTCAGTTTTGGTGCCTGCCTTCTCAAACCGTGGCCATAGCTCCTGCCTGTCTGTGGCTCCACGCCTGAGACGGGATGGGCTGAGGATGTGCCTGTCCTACTGTGGTACCCCTGCAATTCAGTCGCTTGTGCGGATGCCTCTTTGCTTTGTCCCTTGTGGGGACAAGGGCAGCTGCCTGTGTGCATGGCTCTTGCTGCCTCCTTCTTCCAGATCCAGGTGGAGGGCAAGAGCATCAACTTCATTAAGCACAACGCCTGCAACGCCAAGCGGGCCCCACTGCGGCGCTCCCACTCCCTGCAGACACTGGCTGAGCTGCTGGAAAAGAAGCACCGGGAGCAGGAGGAGTACAACACCAAGCAAAAGGGCCGTGTCCCTCAGTAGTACGTATGCTCCTTTCTGGTCCATAAGACTTTCTGTAATGAGCCCACTTCCCCTCACCACATCCTCCAGCTTCTGCGTAGAAAGAGGGGGGACTGGGGACAGAGGCCCTCTTGCCATATGCAAGCAGTGTGATTTACTGTGGCCTGGGGAATAAATGCAATCCCTCTTGGTTTCTTGACTTAACAAGCATCCCGTGGCCAGTGTGACTGGGCTCAGAAAGAATTTTGTCTCCTCCTCCCTTGCTTGCTGTTGTACAATGATGCTGACACGAGGATGCTCTGTGTGCTCTGAGAAATGTGCTCCTGCCCCTTTGGAAGCCTTGCTCCGCATGACGTAGTGTCAGTATTAAAAGGTCTGGTTTTGGAGAGGCAGAGAGCTGGTTCTGCCTTGCAAACATTCATCCTGCCTGAGGAAAATCCAACTAGTGACTTGCATTTTTGGGGAAACAGTTCCTGGGTGACCCTGTCCTAGGACTGACCATGGTGTCAGTCCTTTGGCTCTCTGCTGTGCCTGCTGTTCTCTGCCAGCATCCCTGGCTGGGAGCCGCTTTGTCCAACTTCATTCCGGCACTGGCCCACAGAGGAGTTTGAGAGGACTCAGCAGCCTGGGCCAGAAGCAAGGAGCAGAAGCCCTCGTCTCCGAGGAGCTCGTGTCAGCCTCAGTGCGTCTCTTCCAGCAGCCCTTCAGTGCACGTGGAGCGTGTTTGCCCGCATCCATGCACGTGGGCTAAACTCGGGTGTATCCCTCCACGGCAAGGGCGTGTGCCGGCAGGGTGGGTCTTTGTGGTCCTCAGGCAGTGACAGGGAGACTCACAGGGTTTGAAGGGCTTGATTCCTGGCCTCTGCCTGCATCCCTGGGCCACGCCTGCTGCCAGATGTGCTGACACCTGCTTTTATTTGTCTTGCCAGCCTGCTGGAGAGGAAGGAGCTGTGGCGCAGAGAGATGGAGGAGCGGCTGCGAAACCTGCCAGATCCTGACATGCCACCTGGTCATACCATGATGCCAGACAGCCAGCGGCTGGAGACTCTCAACAATCTGAAGCAGAGTAAGAGGAAAAGAAATGGAGATTCCAGCTCAGAAAAAGAGGCGATCCTAACCAGGATTAGGGAGAAGAGAGTTCTGGGGCACAGATTTCTGCCACTTGGAGATTTGCCTGGAATAAGGCACATAGGTGGGATGTGAGCTGTGTGCATGGCAAGAGCAACCTCCTTCGGGTTGGTGCGACCTGCAGGTTACAGGGCTGGCTCTCTGGAGCAGGCTTGTCCAGCGGACCTGATGTCAGGGTTACTCTTGCTCTTAAAATGACAGAAATATTTTGGTTGGAAGGGACCTTCAGAAGTCTCTGGTCCAACCCTTGGTTCTTCAAAGCTGGAGCAGGTCACAGAGGTCCTCATCCAGCTGAGCTTTGAATTGAAGGATGGGTATTGTAAGTCCTTGTTCCCGTGCTGTCACCATTTCCTTGACTGAGCATGATGTCATAGCATTAGGGAAAGGACAGATTTCTTTGCCCTTCCACTTACACAACTTGTGGTTTTTATTTTTTGGTTTTGGTTGGGGTTTTTTTTGGTTTTTTGTTTTTTTTTTTTACAGGCCAAGAGCAGCTGACAAAGCACCTGGTGATGCTGCCAGTGCGCGCAGACACCCTCAGCATGCAGAAGAGGCGGGTAGAGCTGGAGAGGAAGCTCTCCCAGATAGAGGAGGCCATCAAAATTTTCTCAAGACCCAAGGTCTTCATCAAGCTGGACTCCTGAGCTGGTGGGGCTGCTCTGCGTGAACATCCTTCATCGCTGGGAAGGGACGATCATCACTTTGGGAGGGAAGGAGAGGGAGGCAAGTTCAGGACCCTGGGCCCACACAGGTGCCGATAGTGTCCAACGTGCAGCCGGCATCTCTTGCTCACCCTCCAGTGCTGTGTCTTGTCCACAGAAAAGGGAGGGAGATGCCGTAATATAGTCCCCGCTCTGTGGTCTGGAGGACAGTTGTCTCTCTGCTGCTTGACTTCTCAGAGATCAGCTTTCTGCTCTGGATCCATGGCATCACCTCTGATTTTCCCATTTTTTCCCACTTCTAGAAACCGGTAGGAGGTCTCCTGTACTGCTGCCCTTGGTGTTCCTTGTCCCCTTCTTTCTCCTGAGTTGGGCCATGGTCATGGTTCGTTCTGGGCACCTGCAGACTTGGCACAAGAACCTCGTGCTGTGCGTCTGCCGTGCATGCCCTGGTCCTGAGCACTCACCTGTCCTGCTCACGCGGCTGGTGCCTCTGCATCCTCCGACCTGCTGGCTGGGCTCAGAGCTCGGGAACAACAAAGAGGTGCAGAGCTTCAGTCCTTCCTGCCCAGGGAAGAGCTGGGCTGGCTGCAGGGGGATCTGGCAGGGTGTCTGGAGAAGCCTTTGTCATCTGTGAGGCTCCAATAAAGCATTGTTTCCCTCTTCCAGTGTGTGTGCAGCTCCCAGTGGGCTCAGCAGGGCCTGAGGAGTGGTGGTGGGCAGCAGAGACCAGCAGTGTTGACGTCGTGCAGGCAGGGGAAGAGCCATGGGTCCTGGTCCCACTTTCTGCAGAAGCCCGAAGTGTCCAGGGAGGTTTGATTTCACAGCGCTGGGGTGCTGAGACGTGGTGGTGGACTCAGAGTGGAGAATGTGCGAGGTCCTGCCAGATCTCGGTCTGCAGACTTGCTGGCCGGACAAGGCTGGGCAGATGCCATCATGGAGGTGAGCTGGCTGCCTCCTTCCCTTCGAATGCCACATAGGGACCTGTGCAGACCTTTGCAGGGATCCTGCTGCATGAAGCGTAGAAAGAATTAAGCTAGAAGGGATCGCTGGAGGGCTTGGTCCGTCTTCTGCTCAGCACAGGGCCAGCTCTGCAGCTTGAGGCCTTGTCCAGGTGAGTTAGAAAATCTCCAAGGATGGCATTGCCGCCACCACCACCTCGTTGGGGCTCTTGTCTTCAGGCTGTGCCACCCTCAGAGGGAACACGTTTTCCTCTGAAGTCCCATCAAAATTTCCCTTTTTGCAGCTTGTGCCTTTTGCCCTGTCTCCTTTTGCTGCGCAGGTGGAGATGCTGTGCATGATTGCCCCAAGCAGGTGCCTTGTTGCACCGGGTTACTCCAGCCCAGGCAGGATTTTCAGGGTGGGGATGTTGCGGAGTGGTCCAGCCCTGCCCTCAGCACCCAGTGCTCTGGGACGTGGGGGGCTGACACTGCTGCCAAGGGCTGGGGAAGCTTTTAGCACTCAAAAGCTGGAGGAGGTGAGATGCCAACCAGAAAATCACCCCACAGTCCCCTGGGACTGCCTTTGGGGCAAACGCTGCAGCCAGGCTGAGCCGGCTGGGTGAGAGCAACGCTGAGAGCAGCTGGGGGCCATGGACAGCAGCCCCTGTGCACCTCCCTGCCCTAACCAAGTCTGGACTAACCAGCCCTGCTCTCTGCTTTGCTCTCTTGCCTGCCTGGGTCCTGGCTGTGTGCCGTGAGCATTGCCAGGCTCGGGAGCACTGGAGCTGCCAGCCCCAGCCCTCGCTGCTCTCCCTGCCTCCCTGCGGCAGGGCTGGGGCTCCGGATGGACAGACAAAACCTGAACAGTTGGTGCCGTCCCTTCAGACCCTGAGAGCTGCAGGTGTGGGTCCTCCTCCTCCCCACCCAGTCCCACCACGTGCCTTTGACAGCAGTGCTGGTGAGAGGACCCTGTGTTTGTGGGGCCCTTGGCAAACAGGCTGGGAAAGCCAGTGTGGTCAGGCCCTTGGTGTTAAACCAACCCAGCGGCTCCTGTGTGGTCGCTGGCGAGGTTTTGGCTACACCAGCACAGGTGCCTCTGGACAGGGAGCTGCATATGGTTTGGTTGTTGGGGGTCAGCAAAGGCAACAGGACACAGTCCCCCCTTCCCTGCGGAGGTGACCTGCTCTGCCACCAGCCGGGGTGCTCACTTGTGCCTGTGCCCAGCATCGCCCCACGGGAGCCAGGCCAGGATGCCTGGCACGATCCGCGCTCACTTCCCATGGGATTTAATCCAGGGGCTGTAGGAGAGCCCTTATGCCATGAATGGTCTGGCACCATGCTGGTGCCATTCCTCCCCAAGCACCAACGTCCAGCTCAGGTGAACAACCTGGAAAAGCAGTGCCCTCAGGTGCACCCGACCTGCCGGACCTTGTGCCTGGGCTGCTTTGCCAGCAAATGTCACCGGTGGCCACAGCGGTGTTGGTGCTGGTGCTGAAGGTTGATGCTGCAGGCGTCATGGCGAGAGGGGGTGAAGGACCACGGGGATGGCCAGCTGTGATCTGGCCAGACCTGTTCCCAGCGAGGACAGGAGGAGGAGAAGCTCTCAGCACTGTGGGTCCAACTGCTGGGGTGTTGCTCTGTCCCTCCCTGCGGGCAGGAAGGTGCTGGTCCAGGCTGGTCCGGGCCAGCAGCAAAGCAAAGGCCAAAGCCACCATCAGCTCAGGACTTCGGTGCTGGGAGAGCGACCGAGGGCACCGGGAGCCCCGGGTGAGCAGGAGGGGTGGGTATGGCCCCTCCTGAGCATGGGGCTGGAGGAGGAGGATGGAGCTGTGCCCCCCCCAGCAGCATTTACTGGGGCTGAGTGACAGCCAAGGTGCTGCTGCCAGCCCAGGTGCCACCTGGCTCCCTGCAGGCGTCACCGGGCTGTCCCCAGCGTAGCAAGGGCATCGCAGCAGGGACAAGGTGGGAACTAGGGGGCCAGGTGAGGCTCATTGTATCAGGCTGCCATGCTGGGCTTGCTGCCCAAAACAGCCTGGACGTGTGCTGTGGGACAGGGATGTGCTCCAGCATCCCTCCAAACCCCCCCTCTTCCCTGCAACGGGCCTTGCTGAGGTCGCCCAGCACAGCGGCAACGCCACAACGTGCAGCATGGGCAAGGGTGCTGCTCCCAGGCACTGCCCTGCACGTGCAGGGCTGGGGTCCCCCCTTCTCCCAGGGGACCTGCAGAGGTGGTCACAGGATTGATGCTAGCCCACGATGGGATGGGCCATGGCACGTGGGAGGGGGTGATGGGGCTGGTGAGGGACATACCTGCCCCATCCCAAGTCACCAGGGCTGTTTGCTGTCCTGGAGGGGGCTGTGCCCCACAGCTGTTGGGGTCTGGCCCCTGTGGTGACACAAACCAGAGACAAGCAGGTGATTTCTAGAAAAGGTTTTACTGTCCATTGCAATATATTACTTGATGATGCATATGTCGATAAAACAATTTAAAAAAACCCACTTGCTTGGAAGGGGGGGGTGGGAGGTAAGGGGGCTTGGAGGGGCAGTGCCCGGTGGGAGTGGGCACCGCAGTGGGGCTCCCGGAGATGCAGGTGGTGGGAGAGGGCAGCCCCGCTCCGCCTCTGCCCGCCAGCCCTGGCAGTGCCCAGATGCTGACAACCAGCCTGGCTGCACAGAAACCTGGTTGGCTGCCAAGGGTGGCACAGGACCCCGCAGCTATAGGGTGAGGAGGGTGCCGTCCTCCTGCCCGCTACCCCGGCCGGGGCTGCCGTCGTGGCTGGCGCGGGGGTGCAGGGGGGCCCACGACCCCGGTGGGGGGCG